TACTAGCACACTGGCACACAGGCACACTGGCCCTATGGACCGAATGTTCACACAGTTCATAGTGTAAACGCACCACTCGGGTGATAGGCATATAGAGAATGCCAGTTCAAATCCACATCATCACCATCGTCATCATCATCATCATCATCGCCGTCGTACTCATCAACATTATCTTTCTCTTTGATAACTTTGTCAGCATCAGCACCAGCAGTAACAGCCTTGAGTTCTGGGTAGTAGTCTTTGCCATACTGAATGGGCTCTGCAGTTGAAGATGCATCAGCAGAAGCAATGACATCATCCAGCTCCTTGATGACATCATTCTCTTCTTGTACATCATCTCTCTCCTCCCCACTGCTGTTCCACTCTACAACCATTGAACCATGCGTGGTGTCAGCGGTGTTATGGCGAACATGAGCAGGCAACACCGCAACACCCAACATTCCCACGCCGCCAGCAGAGCCGCCATGACCATCGGTAGTCTTGAACAGGCTATCGTCCAGCATTCCGTCAATACTATTGCCAGAAAACATCGTGTCATCGGCATCAGGCACAGGCGTCATTGCTTCATACAGGGAGCGTACAAACTCTGGACGCATAAAAGACAGAGAGCGATCAAACTGGGCATCCTCGCCGACAACAGATGATGCGTCCAGTGACTCTGGAGGTGGTACAAACATTGGATAAGAACCAATGAGAGTGTTGTCCAAGCGAAGTCGCACAAGATCGATTGTGGCATGGCCGACTGGCAGACGACGGTGAAACCGACCTGAATACTCCCAAATCTGTACCTACAAACACACATCATGTACACATACACAAAGAAAAATACATTTAATTAGATGGTGAGGCAATACTGAAACAAATACACATGCACACATATACAATGTACACATGCACACACATATACAATGTACATGTACACACACACACTTGCACACGCATTGGCACACACACTTGCACACATGTACACACACTTGCACACACACTTGCACACGCATTGGCACAAACACTTGCACACATGTACACACACTTGCACACACATTGGCACACACACTTGCACACACACACGCACGTGTCAGCATACATGCACGCACGCACGCCCCCCCTCCCCCCCCCCCCCCCCACACCCACACATACACCCCCCCCCCACACACACACACAACACGTTCCAGTAGCCCTGTCACTGGTATAAGCAAAGAAGTCCATGCATGCACATACATTTCAAATGCAAATTGACACATTTGGGAGATCGGTCAATTATTTGTGTTCACACAATCTGTGTTCAAATTCAATTTCAGTACAGGTAGACTGCCTCTAATTCAAATATGGTATAATTCGAACAACATTCCGTGTAATTTGAACTTTTTCGTCGTACCGTTCTCCTCCAAGTCACTTCAAGTCGAATTCGAATGCGTAATTCGATGTACGAAACATGCCCCGGTTGGATAATTCAAACTCAGTCTTCGTGCAGAAGAGCAGTTTACAGTATAGTGACTATGTCCTTCGAACGCTTATTTTGAAGTGAGATGGAGTTGCTATAATTGTAATTCGAAGCTCATTCTTTCGTCCTTCTCTAGCCAAGAGTAGCTCAAAAATCCATTCCTGGTCCGCTCCAGGATCATCAGTAGCGTTCATGAAACCAACCTTCCCTCGCAATTTGATTCAAGCCCGTGCGAGGCAAAGTGCAAAGATTTGATTGAAGACGACTTATTCCAGGTGGCTGACTCCGTTCGCGGATCTCAATGGCCTTTCATGCCGTGCCAGCTCGCGCGCAGAGATGTTTGCCAACAACAACACTCTTGACTGGAAGTCGTAAAATTCGTCTATGCCTATGCTCCACTTCCGTTCCTCAGAACGACGTGCTGCTGTCCAACGGCCTTTCATGACGCGGATTAGGCGGCACTGTTCTTTCACTTGAAATTGTTTCAGGACAGCTTCAGTGCCAGACAACTTCTTCACTAGAAGATCAAGATATTATGTCAACATAACTTTGTGTCGATCCACTGTTTTTATAAAGTGGCCTATGTTTCGTTGATGCGAATAAAATGTGCGAAAATAATCAGCACGCAAATTTGAGCATTTTGACATACATATCAGTGCATTGGACTGCATTTGGATAATTAGAGGTTCCTGATAATTCGAAGTTGGAGCCTGACAATTTGAGGTTCGAATTAAGAGTCTACCTGTATACGGATCTCTGGCTCAGTTTCCATGAACTGTTTGTGTACTGTGCGCGGCTTAGTACGTTTTATCGATCCACGCAGATCCACACAGACATCATACATCCACACAGATCTACACAGATCTACACAGATCTACACAGACATCATACTTGTACACAGCACACAGATCTACACAGACATCATACTTGTACACAGCACACAGATCTACACAGACATCATACTTGTACACAGCACACAGATCTACACAGACATCATACTTGTACACAGCACACAGATCCACACAGACATCATACTTGTACACAGCACACAGATCTACACAGACATCATACTTGTACACAGCACACAGATCCACACAGACATCATACTTGTACACAGCACACAGATCTACACAGACATCATACTTGTACACAGCACACAGATCTACACAGACATCATACTTGTACACAGCACACAGATCCACACAGACATCATACTTGTACACAGCACACAGATCTACACAGACATCATACTTGTACACAGCACACAGATCTACACAGCCATCATACTTGTACACAGCACACAGATCCACACAGACATCATACTTGTACACAGCACACAGATCTACACAGACATCATACTTGTACACAGCACACAGATCTACACAGACATCATACTTGTACACAGCACACAGATCTACACAGACATCATACTTGTACACACCACACAGATCTACACAGACATCATACTTGTACACAGCACACAGATCCACACAGACATCATACTTGTACACATCACACAGATCTACACAGACATCATACTTGTACACAGCACACAGATCTACACAGACATCATACTTGTACACAGCACACAGATCTACACAGACATCATACTTGTACACAGCACACAGATCTACACAGACATCATACTTGTACACAGCACACAGATCCACACAGACATCATACTTGTACACAGCACACAGATCCACACAGACATCATACTTGTACACAGCACACAGATCTACACAGACATCATACTTGTACACAGCACACAGATCTACACAGACATCATACTTGTACACACCACACAGATCCACACAGACATCATACTTGTACACAGCACACAGATCTACACAGACATCATACTTGTACACAGCACACAGATCTACACAGACATCATACTTGTACACAGCACACAGATCTACACAGACATCATACTTGTACACAGCACACAGATCCACACAGACATCATACTTGTACACAGCACACAGATCCACACAGACATCATACTTGTACACAGCACACAGATCCACACAGACATCATACTTGTACACAGCACACAGATCTACACAGACATCATACTTGTACACAGCACACAGATCTACACAGACATCATACTTGTACACAGCACACAGATCCACACAGACATCATACTTGTACACAGCACACAGATCTACACAGACATCATACTTGTACACAGCACACAGATCTACACAGACATCATACTTGTACACAGCACACAGATCCACACAGACATCATACTTGTACACAGCACACAGATCCACACAGACATCATACTTGTACACAGCACACAGATCCACACAGACATCATACTTGTACACAGCACACAGATCCACACAGACATCATACTTGTACACAGCACACAGATCTACACAGACATCATACTTGTACACAGCACACAGATCTACACAGACATCATACTTGTACACACCACACAGATCCACACAGACATCATACTTGTACACAGCACACAGATCTACACAGACATCATACTTGTACACAGCACACAGATCCACACAGACATCATACTTGTACACAGCACACAGATCTACACAGACATCATACTTGTACACAGCACACAGATCTACACAGACATCATACTTGTACACAGCACACAGATCTACACAGACATCATACTTGTACACACCACACAGATCTACACAGACATCATACTTGTACACAGCACACAGATCCACACAGACATCATACTTGTACACATCACACAGATCTACACAGACATCATACTTGTACACAGCACACAGATCTACACAGACATCATACTTGTACACAGCACACAGATCTACACAGACATCATACTTGTACACAGCACACAGATCTACACAGACATCATACTTGTACACAGCACACAGATCCACACAGACATCATACTTGTACACAGCACACAGATCCACACAGACATCATACTTGTACACAGCACACAGATCTACACAGACATCATACTTGTACACAGCACACAGATCTACACAGACATCATACTTGTACACACCACACAGATCCACACAGACATCATACTTGTACACAGCACACAGATCTACACAGACATCATACTTGTACACAGCACACAGATCTACACAGACATCATACTTGTACACAGCACACAGATCCACACAGACATCATACTTGTACACAGCACACAGATCCACACAGACATCATACTTGTACACAGCACACAGATCCACACAGACATCATACTTGTACACAGCACACAGATCTACACAGACATCATACTTGTACACAGCACACAGATCTACACAGACATCATACTTGTACACAGCACACAGATCCACACAGACATCATACTTGTACACAGCACACAGATCCACACAGACATCATACTTGTACACAGCACACAGATCCACACAGACATCATACTTGTACACAGCACACAGATCCACACAGACATCATACTTGTACACAGCACACAGATCTACACAGACATCATACTTGTACACAGCACACAGATCTACACAGACATCATACTTGTACACACCACACAGATCCACACAGACATCATACTTGTACACAGCACACAGATCTACACAGACATCATACTTGTACACACCACACAGATCCACACAGACATCATACTTGTACACAGCACACAGATCTACACAGACATCATACTTGTACACAGCACACAGATCCACACAGACATCATACTTGTACACAGCACACAGATCTACACAGACATCATACTTGTACACAGCACACAGATCTACACAGACATCATACTTGTACACAGCACACAGATCTACACAGACATCATACTTGTACACAGCACACAGATCTACACAGACATCATACTTGTACACAGCACACAGATCTACACAGACATCATACTTGTACACAGCACACAGATCTACACAGACATCATACTTGTACACAGCACACAGATCTACACAGACATCATACTTGTACACAGCACACAGATCTACACAGACATCATACTTGTACACAGCACACAGATCTACACAGACATCATACTTCTACACACCACCCGCATGATTGTGTAGATGGTGAAAAAGAAGGATCCACGAGCGCGATTCAAACCTAGCACCCCTGTCTATCTGGGACAGTGTCACACGGAGGAAAATTAAAAAAATCCGTGGTTACCATGGATATTTGCCGCTGAGCAGGAGATTTGAGAGATGTAATCCACTCCATGAAAATCAGCTCGAGGCCCCGCTTTTCCGCCGAAGATTATAATCATCCGCGGCTTCCACTGGATTTCTTTGAGTTTCCTTGTTTTTTTTAGTGCGTTATGAAGTGGAGTGGTACTCTAGAGGCTGTGCTGATGCAGCGCTGGCCCAGGAGCGCGGCTGACAGACTGTTAAAAGCGAATGGTGAAAAAAAAGCTCGCGTGGTGAGATTTTTTTCATTGTGTGTATCCAGTGTGGCCGTGATGAAAAGTAGAAAAATTATTCCCGGTTTATAATCTGAGGATTGTTCCCTCAATGTGACCAGCCCCTAATGGACTAGGCTACCGGGGATCACACACCCCGTTGCGCTCATTCTTGCTACATACACAACATGCGTTGCCATGGCACCAGTCACATGATCACATATTTCTTATTGTACTAGTGAGCGTACCTTGAGCAATCGCATATCATCAATATAGCGCGGCACTAGAGGTGATGCGAGCACTGATCCAAACACAGGCTCACGACGCGGCTCAGCTCGCTGTGTTTTCATCTTGTCAGCTTTGCGCTCATTGTGTTCAAACGTCACGAAACACTTGACGTAGATAGCTGTGCATCAACATGTGCACATGTACACACACACACACACACACACACACACACACGTGCACGCGCACACACACACGCACACACGTGCACACATACACACTTGGACATGCTAACTGGCAGAAACTGATAATGTGGATCTTCTCACGGAGAGCCACACATACATACACACAAACACACGCACAAGCACACACATCCATACATATACACACACATACACACACAAACGCAAGCACATACACATACACATACACATACATACACGCAAACACAGTTTCTAGGGGTGGTTGGAACTCACAGAAATTTGGCTTTTTCCGGAGCCGGGACCAGCACTTAAAGTCATAGCCTTTCAGGACCGTGACTTCAATGCCGTTGTCATGATGCCGATGACCAACTAGTTTGATTGAGAGTTCTAGAAAGCCGATCGCATCCAATCCTGCAAGTAAGACATGCACACACATGCACATACATGGTACAGTCTGGAGTTGGCTATCCGGCCTTCACTAATCCAAACACGACGATAGACTGGACCGCTGGCTGGAATGGGAACTGGTGTTAGATCCACTAAAGAAGTAACGTGCCAGAACATTCTTCTCCCACCGTTCCAAACGTGCAGTCCCAGTATTTCCTGCCCGCACAGCACTTCCAAGTAGTGCTCGTACGGAACTGTAAACCAGAGAGTGGAGAACTGTAAACCATTTAAACGATGTAACTAAAGTCAAACTTCGGGATCTTCAACAACATTGTGAAATGGTTTTCATAAGTAAACGTTCATACCTTCTCTTCAGGTGAAAAACAGAGAAAGAAAGCACGGACGTTTCCTTATAAAACCCATTTCACAATGTTGTTGAAGAGCCTGAAGTTTGCACTACTACTAAGTCATATAGCTGGGTTCTCTTTTTGTCTCCGAGGAAACTTTCTAAATCTGCTTCTTGCCCTTTCTGCTGTGCTGGAAATTATGTAAATTTAGTACTTATTGCGTCAGTCGTCGTATGTCTCAGTACTCCTTGTCAGTGTTGTGACTTTTTGTCGTACTCGCTGACTATAATATGATCAGGTTGTTACGTTGGTGGACAGTTAGCCAAACTCGTAACATGTTGTCCTTACTTTGGCTCAATACACGAGATCAAATTTATTTGCTTCATTTTACAAAACATATTTAGAATGTTATCTCAGTTATAAAGCCATGAACTGAGCCTGCCTGGCTTTAGCACTGAGCCTGGCTTTATAACTGAGCCTGGCTTTAAAACTGAGCCTGGCTTTAAAACTGAGCCTGGCTTTAGCACTGAGCCTGGCTTTAGCACTGAGCCTGGCTTTATAACTGAGCCTGGCTTTAAAACTGAGCCTGGCTTTAGCACTGAGCCTGGCTTTAGCACTGAGCCTGGCTTTATAACTGAGCCTGGCTTTATAACTGAGCCTGGCTTTATAACTGAGCCTGGCTTTATAACTGAGCCTGGCTTTATAACTGAGCCTGGCTTTATAACTGAGCCTGGCTTTATAACTGAGCCTGGCTTTATAACTGAGCCTGGCTTTATAACTGAGCCTGGCTTTATAACTGAGCCTGGCTTTATAACTGAGCCTGGCTTTATAACTGAGCCTGGCTTTATAACTGAGCCTGGCTTTAGGCTGTACTCACACTACTTGAAAGTTTGACGCGAATGTCGCGTTCAAAACTAGACAAAAGTACTTGAAAAAGCCTTTCCAAGCACACTGGACTCCAGTGACGACTTGAAACATTTTTGTCAGCAAATTACCATGGAGAAACATGATTGTCATGACGGTAGTTTTGCAAATCCCGAGGCTGCGTTCCTTCAATTTTTTTGCGCTCGATCAACTTATTTGAAATTTTCAGTTCATGAGAAAAATAGAAACAGTTATATCTTGCTTGGATCGTGGAGTTCATTCGCCATGCCTCGCGAAGAAGTAGCACATCGTCGACGTCGAAGGATGAAGAGGTTTCTCTCCACAGCTCGATGAGCTTCTTCTCCAAGTCGTCAGAAAACACTACGCGAGGCATGATGCCGGTACAAAAGCAATGGTACAAAAGAAATGCGACAGAAACGGCAATCAAAACAACGGGAAGCTACTGGAAGAAAGAAGACGGAAAATACTCGGAAAAACACCACAGAATTCAGAAATGACAGGAAAAAAAAGGAAACTACAAGTATATGTACAGGAGCAGTACGACCACGAGGAAACAAAGCATGAAAAATATTCTGGAGCCTTTCAACGTACAATAGTACGCCGGCCTCCTGACCTCACGATCACACAGCTTTCCAAACGGCTTGAAAGCAAAAAACCTCGTAGAAGAGGGTTCCGTTTCCGCTGAAACCTTTCAAGCGGCTTTCAAGGGCTTTTTTTCATTTTCGCAACCGTCACCATGGCAACATTCACACGTAAGTCACTTGTATGCGGTTTTTCAAGTAGTGTGAGTACAGCCTTAGCACTGAGCCTGGCTTTATAACTGAGCCTGGCTTTATAACTGAGCCTGGCTTTAGCACTGAGCCTGGCTTTAGCACTGAGCCTGGCTTTATAACTGAGCCTGGCTTTATAACTGAGCCTGGCTTTATAACTGAGCCTGGCTTTATAACTGAGCCTGGCTTTATAACTGAGCCTGGCTTTATAACTGAGCCTGGCTTTATAACTGAGCCTGGCTTTATAACTGAGCCTGGCTTTATAACTGAGCCTGGCTTTATAACTGAGCCTGGATTTATAACTGAGCCTGGATTTATAACTGAGCCTGGATTTATAACTGAGCCTGGCTTTATAACTGAGCCTGGCTTTATAACTGAGCCTGGCTTTATAACTGAGCCTGGCTTTAGCACTGAGCCTGGCTTTATAACTGAGCCTGGCTTTATAACTGAGCCTGGCTTTAGAACTGAGCCTGGCTTTATAACTGAGCCTGGCTTTAGCACTGAGCCTGGCTTTATAACTGAGCCTGGCTTTAGCACTGAGCCTGGCTTTATAACTGAGCCTGGCTTTATAACTGAGCCTGGCTTTAGCACTGAGACTGGCTTTTTACAATGCATCAGGGATGAATTTATTGTCATATTTTCGCATAGCAGTTTCTGCTATACAAAATCACAATTGTGTAGCAGTCTTTGATTTTGATTAGCATTTTTCTTTTAAAAGGTTGGGTCTTTACCACATTGTCCTTCTTGAGAGTGATGCTGAAAGCCCGTTTGCAAAAAAATGACTGAGTCATACCGTAAAATCCCGCCAGAGCGCCCCGTCTCTCCCATCCGCCCCTCCCTGACTTCTTGTCAGGGACGTGATTGATTGTATCCTCGTATGACTCTGTCGCAGTCTGTGATGCCGTACTGAACTGCAGACGCGTGCTCGACCCCGTTGGAAATGTACGCAACAGTGCCCACCCTACTGACCAGGGATCGCACAAACCCTGCGTTTTGTCGGGTCTGTCCGACCCCTGGCTCTTGACCTTTGGTCGGTGTACGAGATGCACGTACAGTTTTCGTAGGGTGAGTACTTTTTCATGTAGCACTGAATGCGGCAAGTAGGACTCGCCCATCCGCCCCTCCCCACCTGAAGCGTCGAGGAGGTAGGGGCGCTCTGGCGGGATTTTACGGTACATGTGCACGCAGATTGAGAGTGCCTGCACCAAATACACTGCACTGTATGCATGCTACTTGACAGCGCAGGATAGTCTGTATGTATCGCAGTTTTCTGCGAATCATGGTGACTTTTGAGTAGCAGTAGATCGATTTTTGCATTGCAAACTGCGATGCGATACCGGATAAATTCATCCCTGATGCATGTACACGTAGATCTACAAATGTGTAAGTGACTTTGACTGTTGTCAGTTTTTTTGGTTTTGTTTTCGTGATTTTAGAGTTCAGCCCTAACCAACCCTAAGCAACCCGACTGCCTACTTGATCCCTGTCTCTCCCTACCTATGTCTCTTCCTCCGTGTCCCTCTCCGTCCTTGTCCGTCTCTCCCCTCACAATATTCAATGTCAGACACACGCGAGCGCACGCACACACACACACACACACACACACACACACACACACACACACACACACACACACACACACACACACACACACACACACACACACACATGCACACACGCACGCACGCACGCACACACACGCACACACATGCACGCACACAACGCTATTGATACCTCTCCATAGTTTTAGTTTGTCAACACTCCGATCATTCATCAGTATCTTCCATGTGTACGTTGCAGCAACTAAGCTTCTTGTTGGCATGTGTATCCGGCCTGAGAGCTGGGATGGACCAAGGTGAGATCTTTGCGACAACTCAGGATCTTCAGTTGCAGTCGGAGACCTATGCATATGTACATTCATGCAAACACACACACATACACACACACACACACACACACACACACACGCACACACACACACACACACACACACACACACACACACACGCACACACACACACACACTTGTACTTGTTGTTCACTTCCAAAACTGGTCACGTGGGTCTCCCCGGGAGAGGGGAGAGAGACTCAAAAGGAATCTCGGAAAGATGACTCAATTGGCTATTGAACCGCCCGGTGGCCGACACCTCCTGAAATCCCCAAAACTCTGGGTGGACTTGAAAATGATCTCACTTATGGGCTCACCACACCTCAGTGATTGGGTGAGGCCCAGGTGCAGGAAAAGGATTGACGGCATCAGGGTATCCGTCCCGGGATCCAACTGCAGATACCCCAGCCCCCAATGAAGGTAATACTTGCTACTAGTGTGGGTGGCTAAACCAGAGTGGATCTGATATAGGCTTCACTAGCACCATGATTACACACTACTTAATCTAGCCAGAAGCAGTCACACACACACACGCACACGCACGCACGCACGGACACACACACGCACGTGCGCACATACACACGCACGTGCGCACACACACACACACACACACACTTGTACTTGCTCACTGCCAAAACTGGTGACGTGGGTCTCCCTGGGAGAGGAACGTTGCATGCATTGCACAATCATGTTGATCTGATGCCACCAGCGCGCTGCAGCACATAAATGCATGTGTGTACTGCTTACCTACGGCTGCATGGGCAGTGCCCTGGAGCCGCTAGACGTGCGACCGGATTTCCATGTCCACGACAGTATAGTTAAAAAATACACCTATACATAATTATAGTCTATACAAAAGAAAAATACAGAGCTATAATGTCCACTAGCACCACCAGTTACTAAACAATCAGCTCATGTGATAACATTGATCAGTGTAGTGCAATGTTATCTCATGAGCTGATTGTTTAGTAACTGGTGGTGCTAGTGGACATTATAGCTCTGCATTTTTCTTTGGTATAAGTTAATCCTTGGCTGTCCATCCCAGTCCATACATACAGTCATAGACCTGATGTACTACATGTTTAGCAACAACTCACACAGATCGGGCCCTGCCGCGACTTTTCTGTCGAACTGCAGTAAAAAGAGAATTGGCCAACACACACGCACACATGCATGTAGGGATAGGGTTAGGGTACGCACACATGCATGTAGGGTGAGGGATAGGGTTAGAGTTAGGGTACGCACACACACATGCATGTAGGGTGAGGGATAGGGTTAGAGTTAGGGTACGCACACACACATGCATGTAGGCATGCATCAAGAGTACATAAACCCCAAGAATGTGCAACTGCCTGCACAACCTCTATGCAGTGCTGCAACGACGGCAGAACTTCACATCACGTGACATGGTTCAATAGGTTTTTTCTTCTTAAAAAAAAGAAGGTATAATGCATCCAATCCTACTGATGATGTGGGGTAACCATGGTAACAGTAAAGTGAGACAGAAGACTAGGACAAACAGACAAAACAGGTAGGCCATACAAAAGCAAGGTGCAGGTGAGGTGAGTCCAGCTAGTCCAGCTACCGTAAAAGTCCGTAAATAAGTACCTGCCCGAAAGAAATACCCCCTTCATTCTTTTGCTGTCTGTTGAAGTCAAGTCAAGCCCGATAAACATACTGCCCGAAATAAGTACCGGTACCGTGCGCACATGCAGCACGTAGCATGTACATCGACATGAAAATGACTTCTCCACTACACACAAGTCAGGTCCGAAAGTAGTTCATGCCCGAAAGTCAGTACCCACCCGAAAATTAGTACGGGTGTGGTCACTAAATTCGAAAGTAAATACGTACTTATTTACGGACTTTTACGGTAGTCTGACCAGAGGTCTCAGAGTCAGCACTGGATGTGTGTACACCAGGAAGGGACGGGGCGGGTTAAGGTTACGCTGGCAAACCGTGCAACGCTCACA